CCATTGCTTTCCTGCAGAAAAAAATGATACCTGATGAAGTGGTCCAAATAAGCTGGTGATGGAAATAATCAGAGAGAACACAGCAGCTCATCTCTAAAGTAGGCTGCTTAAAATAAGTTCTAATTAATATTCCATATCTGTCCTCATCCCCACTTTGAAAAAGCAATTCAAGAATTATCCCCTCCCCTCCCTTGGTCCTAGGCCTTACTTTTATTTATTTATTTTTTAATTTTTTTTTAGATTTTATTTATTTATTTGAGAGAGAGAGAGACAGAAATAGTGAGAGAGAGCACAAGTGGGGAGGAGAGGGAGAAGCAGGCTCCCCGCTGAGCAGGGAGCCTGATGTGGGACTCGATCCCAGGACCCCGGGATCACAGCCTGAGCCGAAGGCAGACGCTTAACCGACTGAGCCACCCAGGCGCCCCTAGGCCTTACTTTTAAATGGTAACTTCACTTGCCTGAAGAGGCTTCTCAGAGTAGCAAGAATATTAGCTAGCAAGACATCACAAGAAAAGAAACTACAGACCGATATCCCTCATGGATACAGATGAAAAATGCTCAACAAAAATAATAGCAAATCAAATCTAGCAACATATAAAAAGGATTATACACCATGACCAAATGGGATTTACCCAAGGAATATAAGGTTGGTTTAACATCCAAAATGCAATTAATATGCCATATTGATAACGGACAAAAAACACATGACAATCTCCATAGATAGAGAAAAAGCATTTAACAAAATTCAACACCAATTCATGATAATCCTCAACAAACTAGAAACAGAAAGGCACTTCCTCCATCTAATGAACAACATCTATGAAAACCTATATCTAACATCATAATTAGACTTGTATATTGAAAACTACAGGGGCGCCTGGATGGCTCAGTCAGTTAAGCGTCTGCCTTTGGCTCAGGTCATGATCCCAGGATCTTGGGATCGAGCCCCGCCATCAGGCTCCCTGCTCAGCGGGGAGCCTGCTTCTCCCTCTCCCTCTGCCTGCCGCTCCCCCTGCTTGTGCTCTCTCACTCTCTCTCAAATAAAAAACAAACACCTTTAAAAAGAAAACTACAAAACATTGCTGAGAAAAATTACAGACCTAAACAACAGAAGATATCTCAAGTTCCTGGATCAGAGACACCAAAAAACCCCCCAAATTTACTGCATATTAACATAATTCCTATCAAAATCCCAGCTAGCTGGCTGCAGAAATTAACAAAGTGATCCTCAAATTTATATGGAAATGCAAAACACCAAGAATAGCCAAAACAATTTTAGAAAAGAAGAACAATATTAGAAGACTTACACTTCCTGATTTCAAAACTTACTATAAAACTACAGTAATCAAGACATTGCATTAGTGTTGATTTTCCACAGAGGTACCAATGAAATTCAATAGAAAAAAAGATAATCTTCAACAAATAGTGCTAACGCAACTGAATAGCAACATGAAAAAAAGATTATTTTGGACCCTTAACCCACAAAAAATAACTAAAGTGGTTCATAGACCTAAATGTAGGTGCCAACATAATAAATAAAACTTTTAGAAGAAAACATAGGAGAAAATCTTTGTGACGCTGGGTTGGGCAATGAGTTCTTAGATACAGTATCAAAAGGCTAATCCATAAAAGAAAAAAACTGATAAACCAGACTTCATCAAAATTAAACACATTTTTGTAGATATCAGAAGAGAGGGGTGAGGGTTGGGGGAAATGGATGAAAGTGGTCAAAAGGTACAAACTTCTAGTTACAAGGAAAATTAAGTACTGGAGATGTAATGCAGATATATGATGACAACATGATGACTATAGTTAACACTGCTGTATAATACATACTTGAAAACTGTTAAGAGAGTAAATCCTAAATGTTATCATCATAAGGAAACATTATTTTCCTTTTATTTTTTTGGTATCCATATGAGGTGAGAGATATTAACTAAATTTACTGTAGCAATCATTTCACAATATATATGTCATTATGCTGTACACCCTAAACTTACACAGTGCTGTTTGTCAAGTATATCTCAATCAAACTGTGCAGAAAAAAACACTTTTGCACTTGAAAAGATATCATTAAGAAAACAAAAAAGAAACCAAATACTGTGAGAAAATATTTGTGAATCATATATTTAAACACAGACTTGTATCCAAAATACATAAAGATCTCTTACAACAAATAGTAAGACAAGTAACCCAACTAAAAATTGGCAAAAGATTTCAATCAACATTTCATCCAAGAAGATATATGAACAACTATAAGTAGATGAAAAGATGCTCAACATTATTATTCACTAAGGCAAAGCAAATAAAAACCACACTCTCAAACCCATTAAATGGCTATAATGAAAAACACGGACAGGATCAAATGCTGTTGGCAGGGATGTGAAGAAATAGGAACTCTTATAGACTGCTGGTAAGAATGTAAAATGAGGGGCGCCTGGGTGGCTCAGTCGTTAAGCGTCTGCCTTCAGCTCAGGTCATGATCCCAGGGTCCTGGGATCAAGCCCTGCATCGGGGGGCTCCCTGCTCAGGCGGAAGCCTGCTTCTCCCTCTCCCACTCCCCCTGCTTGTGTTCCCTCTCTCAATGTCTCTCTAATAAATAAATAAAATCTTTAAAAAAAAAAAATGTAAAATGAGGGATGCCTGGCTGGCTCAGTCAGAAGAGTGTGCAACTCTTGATCTTGGGGTATGGGTTCGAGCCCCATGCTAGATGTAGAGAATATTATATTAAGCGAAATAAGCCAGTCAGAGAAAGATACCATATGATTTCACTCATATGTGGAATTTAAGAAACAAAACAAATGAACATGGGGTGGGGGAAAGGAGAGGCAAACCAAGAAACAGACTCTTAACTACAGAGAACAAACTGATGGTTACCAGAAAGGAGGTTGGGGGGGTATGAGTGAAATAGGTGATGGGGATGAAGGAGGGCACTTCTGCTGAGCAACAGGTGATGTATGCAAGTGCTGAATCACTATATTGTACACCTGAAACTAGTATTACACTGCATCTTAACTGGAATTTAAATAAAAACTTAAAAATAAATAAACTTAGACTTTTTTTAAATGTAAAACTGGTGGGCCACTTTGGAAAAAAGTCTGGCAGTTTCTTATAAACACACTTTACCAATGATTTTTTGCAAAAGTTCCTCTACTTAAAGCCACAACCAAGAGCCTTTTTCATTGGAAAAAGATAATAAACAGTAGTTAACTATATTACAATCAATCCAATAGTCTAGATTAATAGGACAAAACCATGAAAACAAATGTCAATATTAAATTAAGATTTTCAAAACTATTTCATATCATCTCATAGCTAAGACTCTGGTGATTGCTATGTTCTAAATTATCATTAAATCAGAGAGGACACCAGTGAAATGGCAGGTGACTATGACATTTACAGAATGCCACTGAGTCAGGAACTGTTTACTCTCCCAGCAGACAAAGAATCTGAAGCTTAAAGAGGCTGTTCTGCATAAGAACACATAGATCTGACAGCCAAGGTAAAGCTACTTGCTATTTCCTCGACTTCTTAAGCCTTCTAAGGATTTCGGTATAAGGCTGAGTCTAATGTTCGTAAATAATATCATTTAAATTGTTATTGCTTGGGGCACCTGGGTGGCTCAGTTGGTTGAATGTCTGCCTTCAGGTCAGGTCATGATCCCGGAGTCCTGGGATCGAGCCCCACTTTGGGCTCCCTGCTCAGCGGGGAGTCTGCTTCTCCCCCTGCCCCTCACCCCACTCGTGCTCTCTCTCTCTGTCTTAAATAAATTAATTTAATTAAATTAAAAAATAAAAAATAAAAAAATAAAATTGTTATTGCTTGAATCTAACATATCTACCTAGATTTATGTATATGCAAGAAAAGATATCTCATAAATTATTAAATAATATTTGAAATATTCCTGTGTATACCAAAAGAAGTCTTTAAAAGTAACACATCATAAAGTTATTTAAAAGTATTTTCAGTATCTCAGGGCGCCTGAGTGGCTCAGTCGTTAAGCGTCTGCCTTCGGCTTGGGTCATGATCCCAGGGTCCTGGGATCAAGCCCTGCATCGGGCTCCCTGCTCAGTCGGAAGCCTGCTTTTCCCTCTCCCACTCCCCCTGCTGTGTTCCCTCTCTCGCCATATCTCTCTCTATCAAATAAATAAACAAAATCTTTAAAAAAAAATATTTTCAGTATCTCAAGTCTTACTATTCCAGTAAAAAATTCAGGAATGTCCAGGGAGGAATGTCAGAGATACCATTAAATTGTCATCTAAGTTAACAAAACTTCCAACCTCTGAATTAATTTACTCACTTAAATACGTTTATTAAATAGTTATTACGAGCAAAATACTATTTATCTTTTCCTCAAGGAAAGCACAACCTTTGACCACTTCCTTAATCAATACCATTGCCATGGAAATATATAATGCTTGTTTTGAGACCTAGCAGAGAATTTTGTGCCAAATTGAATAATTCTAGCTTCTACAAGGTTTTATTCAAGCAGTGTGGAAATCCCTGTTTAATTGGGCTTATCCATATACAAAAAGTTGCTCAAATTTTTGAGGTTTCATTGTTTTATAATTCATTCCATGTTTATAACACTAGAAGTGCATTTTTTGATAGGAGCACATGATGCGTTACACATATAAGAATCTGTATATTTTAGTGGGAAATTAGGCTCTTTTTCAAAGGCCGTTATTCAGATTGCCTCCAAAAAGGTTACCAACAACATAATTAAAGTAATCAAGAGGGCGCCTGGGTGGCTCAGATGGTTAAGTGTCTGCCTTCGGCTCAGGTCATGATCCCAGGGTGCTGGGATCGAGTCCCGCATCGGGCTCCCTGCTTAGCGGGGAGCCTGCTTCTCCCTCTGCTTCTCTCTCTGTCTCTCATGAATAAATAAAAAATCTTTAAAAAAAAAAAAAAAGTAATCAAGAGATGAAAACAAAGGGGAAGAAATGAACCTACTCAGCCAACTCACATACTAAAAACAGAACACTGAGTTTATACTTTACCTGCAGGTTTAAGGTCTCCTATTCGAATAATGTGCGGCCAGTGCTGGAGTGTTTTTGCAAAAAAAGGGTTGGTTACTCCTAATATGACTGAAGGCCTACATAAAAACAAAACAGAAACAAAGTGAGAAAAAGACAAATGTTCTAGTGAAGACTAGTTTATAATTTCTTTAGATTGAACAACAGACTATCTTTTCCTTCACTCAGTGCATTAACATCTCAACTATATGCCAGGCACCATGTTTAGCACTAGGCAAGTAAACATAAAAAGACCTGGTCTTTTTAAAAGCATACAGAAAGAAAGGCATACATACCTGATTACAATGCCCAAATTAGGAAATAGAGAAGGTGGTATAACACATACGACAATTACAAAGGAGAAACTATATGTCTACCAGGGGATTCAAAGACAGCTTCAACAGGGAAGCCCGGGTGGCTCAGTCGATTAAGCATCCGACTCTTGATTTCAGCTCAGGTCATGATCTTGGGGTCCTGAGACTAAGCCCCACGTGGGGGGGGGGCGTCCGAGCTCAGCAGGGAGTCTGCTTGAAGATTCCCTCTCCCTGTACCCCTCCCCACCTTGCGTGTCCACACATGCTCTCTCTCTCCCTAAAACAAATAAATCTCTAAAAACAAAACAAAACAAAGACAGCTTTACCAAGAGATGACATTGCACAAAGATATGAAAGATGAATAGAAGTTCTTTGCCAAGTGGATAAGAGAGGAAAAGGTGATGCAGGGGAACAAAGAGTACGAGCCAAGCAATGAAGTGAGAGCGTGGTGTGCCTGAAGAACTACAAAGAGCTCAGCATAAAGTGAGAAGGATGAAGAGTCAGAAATGAAAGTAGATGGGCAGGTGCTGGCCAGATTATTAAGTACCAAGTTAATATGCTAAGACGTTTAAAAATCTTGTAGGCAAATGGAAGGTACTAGAGAACCAAATGGAAGGATGCCACATGAATGAAAATGTAGGAAGATCATTCTAGGGTAAATCTGGAAGATGCCCTATAAGGAGGGGATGCGGTTTGGGAAAAAGCAACAGCAGCTATGAAAAGACTGGAGACAGTAAGACTGGGAAGAGACTTCTGGAAAGCAGGTAACAAATGTTATTATGAGAGAGATTTTATGGTGTTGAATTGACTGAATTTGGTAAAATGATGTGGGACACGTTAAGAAGGAGAAATTTATGACAATTTAGATTTTTGATGACTAAGTAAAAAGTAGTACCATTCATGGGTTTGGGGAAGAAAACAAGGAAACAAAGAATTCACTGTATACATTTAGTTTCAGGTGCCATTAAGATGTCCAGGTGGTAAAGTGGTAAAAAACAACAAAACCCTGGACATAAAGGTCTGCACTTGCAAAGATCTGGGCTAGGCAGATAAATTTCAGTTATCAGTATATGGGTCTTAACAGAGGCTGTGGGTACAGATAAGATTGCTCAGAAAGAATTATCAGTCTGAAATCAGATCCCAGAACACAGGACTGCAGAACACCAACATTTAAGGTGCTGGCAGAGACAGACCTCTCTGCACAGGAGACTGAGATGCATCACCAGACAGCCAGGTGAGAGTGGCATCAAGGATTACAATGCTTTCAAGCTCAGGTGCCTGGGTGGCTCAGTCAGTTAAGTGTCTGCCTTCGGCTCAGGTCATGATCCCAGGCTCCTAGGATCGAGTCCCATATGGGGAGCCTGCTTTACCTTCTGCCCCTCCCCCCACTCATGGGCTCTCTCTCTCTCTCTCTCGCTCTCAAAAGTAAATAAAATCTTTAAAAAAATGCTTTCAAGCTCAACAGCTTAAATGTTATAAGAAAGGGAAGGCAGAAGAATTAGAGCAATAATGTGCCTATGGGATCGGGCAGGGAGAGGGTCTTGATGACTCTGGCCAAGAATGACTTCACTGGAAGTGGAGAAATCAACCTGCATGGACTGAGAAGCAACCAGAAAACCAAGAAGTAAAGACAGTAAATGGAGATTTGTTGTTGTTGTTATTCTAGAAATTTAGCTATGAAAAGAATGTAAGCAATAGAGCAGGAGCTAAAAGGGAAAGGGTAAGATAATTTTTTCCCCTTTGACATATTGGGAAGAATTTTCATGTTTCCATGCCAATTCAATGAAGAGGAGGAAGGGGAAGAAATGAAGAGGGAGAAGGAAAAGGAAGTTACAGAGCAACAAGAGATAACTGATGCTGTAAGAGGCCCTAAAGTAGGGCAAGAAAACAGAACTCAAAGTATAGTCAGATGGCTATTAATGACAGTACAGCTTCCACTAATAAATAAAATCATTCAAAGAAAATAAGATTGACAACTGAAATGTAGAAGTATTACAAGCAGCTCCTCAAACCTTCCTTTATAAAATCAAGATGCCAATAAGTTCAAGATGTAATTCTATATAATTTGGTTATACAGGTAATACTTGGTCAATAATAGTTGTTTTGTTTACTCACGGGGCTTGAGTACGAGTAGTATATTCTTTGAATTCACTGTCATGAATTGTGAAATAAGGTCGGAAGTCGCTGAAGTACTTTAATGGAGAAATACAGCTGTGGAGTAAGAAGAACATTTAAAACAAAGGACAAAAAATTAAAGGCCCTACTCAATAACTATAAAACATCAATACACACAGTATACCCACAATGGCATTATTTATTTATTTATTTCAATAAAGAGCAAACTCATTTTAGGAAACCAGAAAGACAAATGGAAATGCATAATCATGTGGAATGGTGTGCTGAAAGCATGCTGGACTTGGGGCAGAAGATGGGGTAAAGTGCTGGCACTCTCACTTTCTTGTTATGTATCTTTTACGAGATTCTGACCATTCATGCAGCCCATATTTGTCAGGCGCCAGCTGAGCGAATGAATGTTTGTTGCTCAGAAAAACCGAAACACGGTTCTAGCCCTTGTGGAGGCTGAATTAATTTTCTCATCCATGAAACGGTACTATAATGAGCCCAGCCTTCTTACAAGGAAAGGGGTTGTGTGGGTCAACGCAACGAGTGTGCAAACCTATCACAGATGGAAAAATGCTGCAACCATCACCGTCAGGAACCAAACATACTCACTTAGTAAGTGCCAATACAGTCTCTGATGACTCTGATGGTGATGGTGCCATGACCACAAGGGGCTCCCCCAACAGGACCAGCTCCCAAAGCATCTGACTATGAAGGAAAACCGGGCAGAAACACCTGAAAGGTATTTATACAGAAGTTATTTATCCAACTCTGTTTTTTTAAGTTCTTAGATGATCGTTCTAAAAACTTCATACTGATATAAATTCTTCCAGCTATTTCTACCTCGTTGTGACATACAAATTCTTTAGAATATGGTGATACATAAGTCCCTTTTATCCATATAAAAACATACCAATGTGACTCATTCGAATTTCTAGAAAATTAAATGCAACATACTGACATATAAAATGGCTAACATATAATAAAAACATAAAATAGCTATTAAATTGTACCATACGGTAGACCTATTTCATCAATATTGCCTTCTTACATTTGAATTTCTATTCTAAATATTTTTTTTTATTTTTTTTAAAGATTTTATTTATTTATTAGAGAGAGAGAATGAGAGATAGAGAGCACGAGAGGGAAGAGGGTCAGAGGGAGAAGCAGACTCCCTGCTGAGCAGGGAGCCCGACGTGGGACTCGATCCCGGGACTCCGGGATCATGACCTGAGCCGAAGGCAGTCGCTTAACCAACTGAGCCACCCAGGTGCCCTATTCTAAATATTTTAAAGAAAACAAGAAAAATTAATTTTCCAAAGGATGTTAACTGGATGTACTTAATTTAAAAGCTAATGCTTGGGGTGCCTGGGTGGTTCAGTCATTAAGCGTCTGCCTTCAGCTCAGGTCATGATCCCAGCGTCCTGGGATCGAGTCCCACATCAGGCTCCCTGCTCAGCAGGGAGTCTGCTTCTCCCTCTCCCTCTGCCCCTTCCCCTGCTCATGCTCCCTCTCTTTCAAATAAATAAATAAAATCTTAAAAAAAATAAAATAAAAGCTAATGCTTTCAAGATTAAAAAATGATGAAAACAAATCACAAGGGGGAGATCTAATGCCAAACAACAGAATGATTTCCTGGGCAGATCCTTCCCTTACAGAAATGCTCCATATTTTTATAGTAGCCCTGGAATTAGTCTGGTACATTACTTAGCCTCAGACATTTGGTAATATACTTATTTAGTAATTTCCTCCTGTTAGGGTAACGATTTTTCCTAGCAGGTTAGAGAATATCTACTTATAAAAATCATAACCAATCTTCCTAGCTGAAAACATATACACACACAAGAAAGAGAGAGGAAGGAAGAAAGGAAGGAAGAAAGGAAGAAAGAACACGTAAATGCAAAAACATAAAACAGATTTGTGAAATGGAAATTAGGGAAAGTTAATTTTAACAATTCAAAAGCAAGAAAACAAATGTGAAGGAAGTGCAAGAAAAAAACAAAAACAAAACAATATAAACAGTTCAAGGATAAGGCAAAGGAACTCTTCTTCCTTTTTCTTTCCTAAATGATTCAATTCTAAAGCAGAACATGGTGCATGGTAGGCATCTCTGCCAGGAGGGAAAGAAGACATGTTGGCTCAGAGAGGGGTGTGAGGACCTGTGTGAGATATCCACGTGGAGGAGGTAGCTTCCTGGGGGCTGTTGGAACCCAAATGTGGTAAAGAAGGTGTACATGTGTGGAGGTGATCTGGTTTGGGGTGACAGAGGGCAAGAAGTATGAGAGGCCTGGAGGGGCAGCCTGGTGTGGAGTGTCAGAGCCAGAGTGTATTGAAGCTGTCCATGGTGGGACATAAAAGCAGGGGAAATAGGGTGTTCACATGGAGAGGTGGCCTGGAAAGAGGTGTAGGAGTACAGTAGGGTAAGGAGGGCATTCTTATGGGGGGTTAGTCTAGCATTGGGAGCCAGAGCACAAGCGAAGTAAGGATGGCACCCATATAGAGAGGGGGCCTAATGTACAATATAGAAGCCTAAATGGGGTAGGAGGGTAACCACATGGGGTCAGTCTAGCATGGAGTAGAACCTGAGAAAGTTAAGGAAGGTATCCATGAAGAAGGGCAGCTGGGTATGGAGTGTCAAAGCCCAAAACGGGTAAGAAAGTCATTTGCACAGAGGAGAGGATTTAAGCAGAGATGAGAGACTGGTTACTAACAGGGACTGATCAAATTAATTAATTAATTAAGGATAATAGGAGGTAGTTTCTCAGAACATTTCTCAGAAAGAAATACAAATACAGAAAGGGAGAAAACTAGAATGAACCCTGTCTTGTAGGATTGGAATTGGGGGTAGTGGCATGACTTTATGGTTTTTAATATATATGTATATAGAAATATATAGCAAAAACGTGTATATATATATATATACACATATATACATGAGTATGTATGTATGCATCCCTTTACAAATATGTATATACTCCCTAGCTCTGTCCACTGAGAGGGCCTAAAATCAATGATATCCCAATAGCAATGAGCACAAGTAGTACCCAAATCTTGGCTTCTGAATCCTATTCTCCATAAAAAAAAAAGCCAAGGCTTTTTGGAGAAATGGCCGATTCCAGGGCTAGGGAAGGAAAAATATAAGATAATTTTAAAACCCAAGAGAGGGCACCTGGGTGGCTCAGATGGTTAAGCGTCTGCCTTCGGCTCAGGTCATGATCCCAGGGTCCTGGGATCAAGTCCCGCATCAGGCTCCCTGATCCTTGGGAGCCTGCTTCTCCCTCTGCTTCTCTCTCTCCCTCTGTCTCTCATGAATAAATAAATAAAATCTTTAAAAAAAAAAAAAAAACCCAAGAGAACTGAAAACATATGTCCATACAAAGGCTTATATACAAATATTCATAGTAGCATTACACATAATAGCTAAAAAGTAAAAACCATCTGAATGTCCTTCAGTGAATTAATGGATAAACAAAATGGGGTATATCCACACAATGGAACATAATAAAATGAAGTAATGACTCATGCTACCACATGTATAAACCATGAAAATGACATGCTAAGTCTAAGAAAGTAGACACAAAAAGCCACATAATTTATGATTCTATTTATATGGTATGGCCAGAATAGGCAAATCTATAGAGATATAAAGTAGATTAGTGACTCCCAGGTGCTGGGGAGGAAAGAAGAAACGGGGAATAAATGCCACTAGGAACAGGGTTACTTTTTGAAGTAATTAAATGTTTTAGAACTAGAGAGTATTTATGCACAACTTTGTGAACTGTATACTTTGAGAGAATGGTATATTATGGTATGTATCAATTTTTTTAATTAAAAAAGAAAAGCCTGGAACATCTTACACAAGAAAACAAGGAAGTCTTTAAAGAATGACAAGAGTATTTAAAAAAAACAAAAACAAAAACAGAGGCCAACTTGAAGTGAGACAAGTCTCATTGGCCAAATTGGGGACAAGTGAAACATCAAATGAGAATAATAAAACTTTAATAACCTGTTGAATAAAACAGGAAACCAACAGTCCATACAGATATACACAGTATGATGTTTTGAAATATTTCTACAAATTGTTTGATACTTCCTTTAAAACATGGAGCCTAATTCTCCCCCCCACCCTTAGCTGTAGGCTAGATTAATGGCTTACATGTAATGAACAGAATAAGGACTGTGCAACCTAGAAGGTTGGGTCATAAAAGACATAGTGACTTCAGTCTTGTCTCAGATCACCTCTGAATACTGTATGAACATTCAAGCTGCCCTATGGGCAGGTCCACATGACTAGAAATGAGGCCTCCTGATGATAACCACAAGGAACTGTGACCTCCAGCCAGCAGCCAAGTAAGTAAGCCTCTTTGGGAAACAGATCCTCCAGCCCCAGTCAAGACCCTCATGCCCCACTTGTCCAACTGACTAAAACCCTGAATGATATCCTGACTCCAACTTCGTAAGAGCTCTAGAGCTAGAACCATCTAGCTAAGACGTTCCCAGATTCCTAACCCTCAGAAACTGTGTGAAGTAATATCTGTTCTTTCAAATATTCTCTCAAAGTATTGGGGTAATTTTTTTCTTTTTAAAGGTTTTATTTATTTGACAGAGAGAGACACAGCGAGAGAGGGAACACAAGCAGGGGGAGTGGGAGAGGGAGAAGCAGGCTTCCCACCGAGCAGGGAGCCCAATGCGGGGCTCGATCCCAGGACCCTGGGATCATGACCTGAGCCGAAGGCAGACGCTTAACGACTGAGCCACCCAGGCACCCCAGTATTGGGGTAATTTATTACACAGCAATAAATAACTCATATACATAGTTTCAAAGTGCCTCCCCACAAAATACTTAATCACAAAAGGAAAACAAGTAGTTATCATTGAGAAGCTTGGAGAATACCACAAAGTGAACATCTTCAGTAACAAGGCAAGCTACCTCCCTGCCAAAGACACAGAGCTTGAGTAAATCCCAAACAAACCTAAACTGAGGGATTTCCTGCAAAGTAACTGTCTTGTAATCCACAAGAAGCTCAGGTGTGTGAAAGAAGACTGAGGATCTATTCCACACTGAAGGAGAGAGACTGAAGAAGCATGACAAGTAAATGCAACAGATAATTTTGAACTAGATGGTACTGTGACAACTGGTGACATCTGAATTAAACGGTATTAATTTATCAATGTTAATTTCCCAATTTTGATGACTGCATTGTGCCTTTATTTGTAGGAGAGAGACACTAAAGTATTCAGAGATGATGAGACATCAGGTCTCCAACTATCAGGTGGTACAAGGAAAAAGTTTTCTGTACTATACTTACTCTTTTTCTGTAAATTAGTGATTGTTTCAAATTTTTATATATATAATTACATATAATATGCATACATACACATATACATTTATATATATATATTTATGTACATAAAATTTTTAAACAATCACAAATTTATAGAAAAGTGGCAAGTATGCATAAGTATATATTTAATAGTGGGGTGCCCTTCAGGCATTAAAGCTGCAAATTGCTTTTTCTCACCAGTATTATAATATATAATCAGTAAGGGTATAAACAGACACCAAGTACAGTTACAAGATAAAGCATTCTCTGAAACCCCTGTATTACTTTAGAAATATTTGTTACAAAAAGTTTTATTGGGGAGGTAAGTATTAAATATTCAAGAAAGGAATCCTATCTCCAGCTCTAACTTTAATAAATATTGGTGGTAGGCATCTAATTACCTGCAGTATAAAATTACTAAAATGAGGGTAGGGAAATTATAGGGTATTTTTTTAGCACTACTCTCATATCCCCATTCTGGAGTGCTATGCTTTATGCTAAGCTCCACTGCCGCCCCCTCAAAAGAGTCATCCCCTGGAAAAAATTAGAAACTTACTCCAAATAAATAATGAATAAATAGATACATATATAAATAGATAACTAGACAAGTAAATAACTAGATAAAGGTTTCAAACTTTTCCAAAGACATAGCATGTTGTTATAATCTTAAAAGCTAAAAGAAACTGGGGCACCTGGGTGGCTCAGTCGGTTAAGCGTCTGCCTTCAGCTCAGGTCATGATCCCAGGGTCCTGGGATCGAGTCCCGCGTCAGGCTCCCTGCTCAGTGGAGAGCCTGCTTCTCCCTCTCCCTGCCGCTCTGCCTATCTGTGCTCGCTCTCTATGTCTCTGTCAAATAAATAAATAAAATCTTAAAAAAAAAACAACAACCTAAAAGAAACTAACATGTATCAATGAGTATCAGACACATTTTATGTAGCAAGAGACTTTTACAGTCTTTGAAACACAGACTCATAGCTGTTATCCGCTCTGCCAATGGGGCAGAAAGCCAAGATGGCTTCATTATCAAGAAGGGGGCAAGGAGGAACATGATGACACAAACTGATATGCCTCTTGCCGTGTGAGGAACCAACAGCAAGTATCATCAGGTAAAACATCCTTGACTCTAGGCAAGAGAATGTGTTTCTTTCAACAAAAAGCTGTCCCTCAATTGCAAGCCCAACTTAAAAACTGAATGAGATGGGGCGCCTGGATGGCTCAGATGGTTGAGCATCTGCCTTCGGCTCAGGTCATGATCCCAGAGTCCTGGGATCGAGGCCCACATCGGGCTCCTGGCTCAGCAGGGAGCCTGCTTCTCCCTCTCCCTCTCCCTCTGCCTCTCCCCCTGCTCATGCTCTCTCTCTCTATCTCTGTCTCAAATGAATAAATAAATAAAAAAAATCTTTAAAAAAAAACTGAATGAGAAGACTGTGTGATCAAGAGAGCTGACACCGAAGTCAGGGTCCATGGACTAGTGGTAGCTTAACAAGACTTGACGTGGTACAAGGAGGGAGACAAGCCCCCACGCTCAACTGCATTTCTGCCACTCAGCTTCAAACATCCTTCCAGGTCTCAGTCCTTTCCTCTCAAGCTCACTGTTGGCATAAAAATATCACCTTCAATATAAGTGATAAACATTTAAACTTTTATTCACACGAAAAACGTACAATGTAAGCTCTCCACACACAAAATGAAGAGTGCTGTCACTAATCTGAGGGTCAGATAGTAAATGCTTGGCACAGCACTATCTGTGTGAGCCTATTATTGTTTGACTTTCAGTTTTTTCACCTCCTGAGCAACAAGAATGAAAAAAAACAACAAATTCACTTGTTCCACTTTTTAAAAGATTTTATTTGAGAGAGAGAGCATGCATGCGTGCATGCGAGAGTGAGGGGGAGGAGCAGAGGGAAAAGGAGAGAGAGAATCTCAAGCAGACTCCTTGCTGAGCGCGGAGCTGGACACCGGGCTCAATCTCACAACCCTGACTGAGATCATGACCTGAGCGGGAGCCATCCAGGTACCCCTCACTTGTCCTACTTTAAAAACAAGAACATGTCATTCATAATCAGGAGAAAAGACACATGCTAATAAAAAGTGTTAGTGATAGGAATAATTAATTACCACAAAAGCACAGATAACTGATAATAAACTGAAAAGCATTAAGATTTGCACCCAGCAGTTCAAAAGAAAACGTCTAGTAATCAAATTCTATATTAACTTATGCATATTATTTAATTTATTCCTAAATGAACTAAGTATCAAAAGTATAAATAGTAGGGGCGCCTGGGTGGCTCAGACGGTTAAAGGGACTGACTCTTGGTTTCAGCTCAGGTCACGATCTCAGGGTCCTGAGATAGGGCCCTATGTGGTGCTCTACGACGCTCGTGGAGCTGGCTTAAGATTCTCTCTCTCCCTCTCCCTCTGCCCCCTTCCACCCACTCCCGTGCAGGTGCGCTCTCTCTCTCTCTCTCTAAAAAAAAAAGGTATAAATAGTATGCATCCTTCTTTGTATATTTTTCCTGTGATAACTATTCATTTATCTGGGGGACATTCACTCTCCCTTTTCATTCTAAGAATGCTACAATATCTAATTTTTAAAAGAAAGTCAATTTGTTTTTAAGTAAGATTTATAATTTACATACAGTACAATTCACACTTAACAAAGATTTAGAACACTTCCATCACTCCAAAATTTCCTTCATCCTCTTTGTAGGTGACTTCCCTCTCCCACCCCCAGGCAACCACTGATCTGATGTCTGCCTCTTTTCCAGAATATCATATAAATGGAATTACTCAGTAAGTAGCTCTTTAAAATATGGCTCCTCTCACTAAGCATAATGCTTCTGAGTCACCCATGTTGCTGACTGTATCAACAGTGCACTTTTTTTAAATTGCTAAGTGGTACTCCATGCATATGCATGGATCACAATTTGTTTATCCATTTACCAGTTTACGGACCTTTGCATTGTTTCCAGTCTTAGGCTGCTATGAATAGAGCAGCTATAAACATTTGCATACAGATCTTTGTGTGGATATGTGCTTTCATATTTATTGGGGTAAATTCCTAGAAGTGGGACTGTGGGCTATACTAGGGCCAAGTGTATAAAACAAATCAAGCATATAAAACAAATCACTCTTTGAAGCAATAGTCCATGCAGTTTAAAGGTCACACACACACAAAATTCTACACACACAAAAATCAAACCAAAAAACCCATTCTAAGAATTTTACATGACTCCCAATTGCATGTATTACTATTTAATAACTGCTCAGCAACAGCAGTGGTTTCTCAAGCTGGGCTACACATCAGAACCACCTAGGAGCTGGAACTTGGGCACCAGTCCAGAGATTTCTATATAGTTGCTCTGGGTAAGGCACAGGCACTGGTACATTTCCTTTTCTAAGTGCTAGATTCCTTCTCCCTTTTTTTATTTTGCATTTTGAAAAATTTCAAACATACAGAAAAATAAAGACAATAGTGTAAGAACCCTATCATCTGGAGTTAAAAATATTTTATCATTTTTACTTCATTAATTTTTTTCTTACTAAAGTAATTTAAGAGTCTTAGTTTCTACCAACTGAACTAGCCAGGCACTTCTTCTGAAGTATTTTAAAATAAAATACAAACCTCATGACATTTCATCTCAAAATACTTAAAAATACATCTCTAAAAAGTAAGTCCATTTTCTTACATGATTACAACAGCATTCTCACACCAAACCAAACAAAAAATAATTTGTTTCTACCATGTAATACCCAATCCATACCCAAATTTCCCTGTCAAAGCTCATAATATATAGTCAGGGATGAACCACTGATTTATAATAATATGTGAAACATAATGACTATTTTCTTCCAGTTTTTTCCCCTCCTTTTTTTTCTTCCTGTTTTTTCCACATTTAAGAACATTCATTTCCTAAAGAAATTTAAAACAATATCACAGGGGCACCTGGGTGGCTCAGTCGTTAAAGCGTCTGCCTTCGGCTCAGGTCATGATCCCAGGGTCCTGGGATCGAGCCCCGCATCAGGCTCCCTGCTCGGCGGGAAGCCTGCTTCTCCCTCTCCCACTCCCCCTGCTTGTGTTCCCTCTCTCGCTGTCTCTCTGTCAAATAAATAAATAAATTCTTTAAAACAATATCACAAAGTAAAAGAGTAAAGGCAGTTAATAAAATTTACCTGAAAAGATCCACCTCATGAACAGTAGGTAAAATAACAGATATATGTGTGTCTGCCTGAGATAAAAAAGAAAAAATACAGATGTCACTAAAATTTACAGAAATTGATTTTTTATATATCTATGTTGTGATCAATAAGCTATGTTGCCCTATCTTTTAAGATTCTCTTCCTCCAGAAGGAGGCACAAAGAGAATGGGTCTTACCAATCTCCCCTAACACAGAAGATGAAGGATGACAGGTATCTTGGATAAAGCATTAACCTAATAGTCAGTCAGATGTTAGATTAATTCACAACTGCATGAAATACTACCATAACATAACAGGCAAAATTAGTTTTCCTACTGCTTTCCATTTTAATTCAATTCAAACAATGGGAGTGCAAATACACCAGTTAAAATAGTTCAAATAAAAACTTCAACCCCACCCACGAACAGATGTAGCTTTGGTGGAAATGAAAAGACAATCATAACTACAGAATCCTTTTGACTGCGCTTCCTACAAACAAAAGTCTGTTGATCACTCTTCTAAGAAATTAAGAGGTTTTATGTATTTTCCCCTAGTCTTCACAGCTACAGTATAAATTCTGAGTTCTCTAGTGTCTACCACATAACAAGAAAAACAATCTGAGAAACATTAGAAAGTTTATTATCAATTCATTACAAAATTATTTAATGGGGTATTTCAGTAATATTCAGAAATATATCATAAACCCAAGAAACTCTGCATCTGCTAGTTTAAGAATTCGGTTAAAAAGACTATATATGCTGGATTATTCTACCACAGTACTACACTACCTGCTGAGTTAACTGTGCTATTTGAGTTGTCCCAGGCTTGTCATGACATGTGGGAATCCGTACCTTAAAGAGAAAGAGAAGAAATTAACTTTGGCTACCAAAGAATGTCTTTTATATAATTTGTGAGTCCCATTACAAGAAGGATCAGAAACACTCTTACCACTAAAAATGTACACTCAGCAAGGCTAAAAAGCCACAAAAACAAAGTATTTACATCAGATTTAAAAACTAGTCTCATTTATCTTTAGTGACAGCAGAAGGTAAGTGAACCAAGGTTTCTATATTCCCATACACGTGGAAATCACTAACCCACTGAGAAGCAAATGTGCTGGAAAACAGAAAAAGGGCATCAGCTTCATACTGCTTCCTGTTTATTGTTCCAATCTTTGCTTCATTAATACACACACGCCCAAACACACCCTCTCAAGCTTGACAAACTATGGGATAAATCTAACAGGAAACCATGAGAACTTTCAACCCAGAACTACGAGTACTATTTTGATGATCTCCCAGGGAAAAAAACAGAACACATCCTACAGAAATGAGTACATCTAAAAACAGAGCATTGCCAAAAATAAGTCCAACTTGAAAATGAATTGCAAAAGCATTTAGAGAACATTCACACAAAGCCTGCAAGCAAAATGTTAACTCATTAAGGAAAGGAAAGGAAAGGAAAGGAAAGGAAAGGAAAGGAAAGGAAAGGAAAGGAAAAGAAAGGAAAAGTGAATAGAGCACAACACCCTGGGATGGACGTTTGGTCTGACATTACACATTAAGATCATTTAAACCTAAGACCCAATGGCTTTCCTAATTTCTTTTAATTTTTACTAATTCATACTCAATTCTACAAAATATTCCTCCCATCTCTGGAGGGCCATAGAGTTGCAAAAGTCTAGAAGGTGGCATTTACGTTCACATGTATTATGTAAGAATGACACCTCTATGCAAACTCTACAGGATGAAACGGGACACGTGGCCCCTGGAGTTGTGTGACTAATGGCTCTGTGCAGCAGGAGGAACTGTGATATCTCTGTAACTCCTCACATACAAGTGAAAGCAGTAATGGGACTGGACATCATCAGGAAGTTAAAAAGTAAAACTCATCTATGAACTTCCTAGAGTTCCTTAGAAAAGGAGAAAAATGAAATAAAAGGTATTACCTTCATTACAACCCCCATAATAGGCAGGTGTAATGTCTTCCCTGGCACTGGGGCAGGCCATCGGTCAACATCATTACAAGCTGGAAAAATAAAATATTTCCTTATTATAAGTTCAAATATTAGAATATGAAAAATAAAACATTAGAAATTAGAACTCCACTTTCTATAGAGCAAGACAAATATATTGGAAAGGTGGAAGATAAAAGGTAAAAGAAAAGTAAAAGTAGTGAAAATATCTTACATTTCACCAGAAATATACCTGTATTCTAGGATATAAACTGGTTCATAAATTTTTTGAAAGCAACAAAATGATAGGTTTAAAGGGAGTTTTCCTATTCACTTATTACTAGTAAAATTAGCTACAAAAGCATACCACCTGGTAGAAGCCTCTGTACTGACATAAAGATTTCAGTTTAAATAGTACTCTGAGAAGCAGAGATGTCAACTCCATATTTGTTTATTATTACGCTAATAAATAGGCATCATCTATGTTGCAAAAGGAGATAATAAAAGATACGGTCTTTGGTGTTTGTAGGTAAAGGTGCAGAAGAGTTTTACATCTCTCTCCTACCATATAGCCCTTAAAATTCTTAACTAATTTTTTTTAGAAAGTCAACTTTATACTTATCAGCCATTTCCAGTAAAATTTTTAAAACTCCTTCTTAAAGGTATCTAACTCACACAAAGTTTAACTTACCTGCTTCCAAATAAGGTTCACTCTTTTCAAAATATTCTGGTGCTATCTGTTTGAGCACAGTGTGAAAAAAATGAATATAAGGTAGTTTGCTGATCAAAACCAAGGACTGGAGAGAAAAAAGAAATATGTCTTTTTATTTTCCTAATGATTATAACTTAAACTTGTCATTTCTTACATAATCAATTATTAACAAGCTAAATTCAGCAAAAAGTGTGGATTTTTAAATAAAGCTTTTGCAGTGGATGGTTAAAAGAAAAACTACATAAAACTACAGTTGCAGAATGCAAAAAAGTTTCACTTTATTACAGCTTAAGAGCATAAAGGCATAGCATATTCACAGATTCTCCTGCTCTCCAGGAAAAAGAATTTCTTATCAGTAGACAAATGTCATGGATAATTTCCAAGGCCTCGCTACTATTGTCATTAGCAAAACAGTATCAGGAATTAGCCAGATGAACTCTTTCTAATACAGAAAGAGCAAATTATGATGCTCTTTCAAACTAAGACCTATGACTGTTGTATTTTAGTTTTCAATAGTCATAGCCATATACTTAGAAATTGTGACTTGGGGTGCCTTGGGTGGCTCTGTCAGTTAAGCATCTAACTCTTGATTTCAGCTCAGGTCCTGATCTCAGGGTCCTGGGATTGAGCCCCGCATCAGGTTCTGCACTCAGCGAGGAGTCTGCTTGTCCTTCTCCCTCTGCTTCTCCCCTACTGCATGCTCTCTCTCTCTCTCTCTAATAAATAAATAAATAAATAAATAAATAAATAAAATCTAAAAAAAAAAAAGAAATTGTGACTTTATAGTTGGATCACTTCAGATAAGGATTATACCAATCTTTTTTTTAACTACTTTTCTTGAAAACTACTTTTTACTTTTCCATCCAATATCAAGTAGTAGTCAAGGCACATTCTAGTTACAAAAGGTAAAGGCATGTTCCTATTAGTTGGGATTAAATCAGAACCAATATTTTTTAAAATGGTGGTTAGAAAATTTATTAAAAGTTTATTTATTTAAGTAATCTCTACACCCAACATGGGGCTTGAACTAATAACCCCAAGATCAGGAGCTATGTGCTCTTCTGACTGAGCCAGCCAGGTGCCCCTAATTTTTTTTAAGAAAATAAAATGATTGCACATTTAGAGTGGAAACAGTAATGACTAAGATGTTGCTAAAGTGTATTTACTGACTCTTATCGGTTTAAAAAAGATACTGCAGGCTTTTATTAGTTGTAACAATACTACAATCATCTGTTTATCCTTTCCCTTATTACAAAATGTGAAAATTAAGCAGATTCTTCTGGCTTTTGATAGTTTCAAACAATATCTATAATTTACCGCCAGGAATGTAGCACAGAGATAGCAGAAAGGCAAAATTCAATACTAGTTAAAAATCTAGGGACAGGGCGCCTGGGTGGCTCAGTTGGTTAAGCGACTGCCTTCAGCTCAGGTCATGATCCTGGAGTCCCAGGATCAAGTCCTGCATGGGGCTCCCTGTTCAGCAGGGAGTCTGCTTCTCCCTCTGACCCTCCCCCCTCTCATGCTCTCTCTCTCTCTCTCAAATAAATAAATAAATCTTTAAAAAAAAAGAAATCTAGGGACAGGTGTCTACAATGTAAAAACACAAAAATAAAATGTAAGTTGTAGTATGTTTAAAGAAAAAATATCAAAGACTTTAAAGACTATTCATCCTTACAGTTTCTATTTCTCTAGCCACAATATAAAAATATTTTCCCTTAGTGTATAAGAAATTTACCTTCTGGAAGTAGCCTCTTTTTAGACTTTTATCTCGAACTTGTCGGAAATACACATATCCGTAAAAATAAGCAGGATCCTTCTATGAAAGAAGTGACAAATAAAAAAAAATACATATTGCCATGCTTTATTATTATCATCATGCTCCTTTATAAACCTGAACTGAAATATGAGGTATACACAAAGAGCTCGTTATGCTTTTCCACCAACACAAATAATCATGACAGTAACTGGCAGATATAAACCTGTTAGCTTGCCCAAAGGGGAAATAATTATACCTAAAGTACTGAAGTCAGATTTTTTCCACTATAATTTACTCAGCTTATGTTCTTTATTCATATTTGTACTAGTTAATGGAAGTCAGGAAACAATAAAATTCTGTTTCCCCCAATGCTGTGTATATATATATATTTTTTAACTGTGCCTACAAGTATGAGTTAGGGGTCAGTCTTAATAAAATGAGGTATCCTAATGTAAAATTTCAAGAGAGAGAGAAAAAGGAGTTAAGTGCCTATCTGAATCTTACAAAGCCAGTTCTATTTTTACCTAATAAAAATGAAACATTGAAATGTTTATCAAAATATAATTTGAAAATGACTACATTCCAAAAAACATAAGAAGTTTTTGCATCCTAATGAAATAAACTTTGACCCAGTTCCTAATTGGATTGTTACTCTTTGCTCAAATATTTATTGACCACCTACTTTGAACAAGGCATTGTGTTAGAGAAGTTAAAAGATGCTTCAGATACAGTTCCTGAAGGAGCTCATAATCTAAAGAGGGATAAAAACAAAGCTCAAGGCGGGTATACAGAAAGCACAAAGCATTAAAAGGAGGCCAGAGGGAAGAGATTATCTCTGTCTATGGGGATCAGTAAAGATTTCATGGAGGCAACTGTTTTTAAATTGGGCATTGAAGGATGGATATGATTTAAACAAAGACAAAGACATTCCAGGTTTAGAGAGCCAGGAGTTTGAGCAAAAACAAGGAGAGACAGAAAAATACAAGCTTCCTCAGGAAAAAGCACATAGTTCACTTTGGCTAAAATATGGCATCTGTATAGAAAGGAGATAAAGTTGGAAATTGGAAAGGTAAAGGTCTTAATTTGGAAGGCCCAAAAAGTGAGGATGAGGAAATAGTACTATCATTAGCTCTTTATTCATTAAGGAACATAGTCATTTTATATTTATTTTTATATAATATATATGTATACTTTAGCTAGCAACATTGTGTAAAATACATTACATCGAAAAAAACCCACAAAAGATGGGATATCTTTGGGCAAATTTCTTATCCTCAACAGCCCTCAGTTCCCTTATTTGCACAAGCAACTCTCTCAGAACACTGTAAGGAGGATTAATGAGATAACACATGCTTATTAATACAGTGCCTAGAACATAACAATAAATAGTAGCTATTATTAACAGTTGAAAGAATATGTCAATACCAGTACCAAAAGGTCGTGGAAAGGAGTAGATGGCTATAAGACATTTCGAAGGTAATATCTTTGCTAACTGGGAGAGGGTTCCTGTCATTAATGGAACCAGGGAGGTTAACTGTAAATGCTGATTTCAGGCAAATGATGTTATACTGGATGTGCTGATAAGACATCCAGATGGAAATGTTCCTCATGCAGTTAGAGATGGAAATGTGGAATACCAAACAGAGACCTACCTCTGAAATCATCTGAATTACTAAAATTGTCTTTAATAAATAACTGTAAAACAAACTCATTAAAAAATCAAAATGAGACAACTATAATTCTATCATAAAGTAGGGAATCTTCAACTTCAGTGATATTTACTGGTATGGTACCACCCCAACTCCACATCTAAACAAAGAGTTATTAAAAATTGAAGGAAAATCACCTCAACATTCTAATCAATTTCTATACTTCACAACAGCATTATGTGTTTCAAGAACAGTAACTTTATAAAGTCCGTTTCTTTCACATGCTGAATCCTTATAAAATGAACTCACTTAGGAAATCTAGCAGTGTAATATAGTAATAAGACAAAACCAAAATATTTCTGAATGCTGTAAGAGGTAGCTGAGTTCTAAAGTTTCCTCTCACATGGACATTTTTCTATTACTACTTTTCCAACCTTTAAGTAAACTGGTAAATCTTTGTCATAATGATCCAGGAGACAATGCAGTGACACTCTCCTCCCAGAAGATTGTCGAAATCTAAAACAAAACTGGGTATCTCCAAGACAACCTAATGAAAACAAAAATGAAAGTAATTAAGAATAGCATAGTATAACATTTCTTTATCCAGATTCATCAAATGTTAGAGCCAAAAAGGTCCTATGAATTGTTTAAACCCATTTTATCATGTTTTAGAGAAAAATAGGAGATCCTGAGAGTTCGAGTGACTTGTCCAAAGCCATCTTTGCTGGTTAGAGGTAAAGCCATAAGCAAAACATACACCTTAACTCCTAGGTCTCTTTACTATTTTTCCTATTCCTATTTCCCCCATTTAATTAAAAAAAATTTTAAACTGTTTGCATGTAATGTTGACTCACAAACATAATAATGAGAAAAAGAAGCCAAATACAAGAGAACATATACTGTTCAAATCCATTTATATATATATATATATACACACACACACATACACACACACACACATATACATATATTTTTAAGCAGGCAAAACTAAACTACAGAGTTTAGGGATGCATGGTTGGGTGATAAAAGTATAAAGAAAAGCAAGACACTTATCACTAAGAATCAGAATCGTGGTTGCATTTGGAGGGGGTGGGAAATAGTGCTTAGGAGGGGACATGAGGGGGCTTCTAAGGTGCTGACAATGTTCCATTTCTAGACCTTGTATGTGTTTTACATTTCACAATGAGAAGTTTCTTTTAAAAGACATAATATAGCAGAATCAGGAAGTCCCCTAGTAATAGATTCACTATTTTCATCATTTTAATTTAATTTAAAAAGTTTTTGATTAATAAAGTTTTTAAACATTAATCACTTCTAGCAAACCTCTTAAAACATGTAAACTTTACCTAAACTGTCTGGCAATAATTACAAAAAACCATAAAGAGTCTTAAAAAGTAAAAGACACATTAAGTAGCTTGTCACTGAAATTCTTCCTGGTTATTATATTTAGAACTAATAAGATTAAACTAAGTATGAAATGTGCTCAAGATTTTATTACTTACTATTACACAAAGAAGTACTCATATTTCCTTAGCACATGAAGTTCTTAACAAAGGAAGCAGAAACCTGATATGTTTAAGTTTTTAAAAAGCAACTCTATATAAACCTAAATGTAATCATAGAAATTAATATTTCTTTGGTGGTGGAGGAAAGAAACACAGGGGACTGGAGGATAGGCGAAGTCAGTTTCTTTACTTGTTACAGTAGTTTAAAAATAAGGAAAACACGTGAAACTGAGATAATGGAAAATACTTCTAGCATTGTTTTAGTTCAAGAGATGTATATGCTGGGGCGCCTGGGTGGCTCAGTTGGTTAAGCAGCTGCCTTCGGCTCGGGTCATGATCCTGGAGTCCCGGGATCGAGGCCCACATCGGGCTCCCTGCTCAGCAGGGGGTCTGCTTCTCCCTCTGACCCTCTTCCCTCTCGTGCTCTCTGCCTCTCATTCTCTCTCTCAAATAAATAAATAAAATCTTAAAAAAAAAAAGATGTATATGTTGATGATTCAATTTTTCCCTTTAGAAGACATTTAAGTATTGTTTAAAAAAAAAAAGAGCCAACAGACACGAAAAAACACTCAACATCATTCATCAACAGGGAAATGCAAATCAAAACTACAATATCACCTCACACCTGTCAGAATGGCTAAAATCAAAAACACAAGAAACAACAAGTATTGGTGAGGATGTAGAGAAAAAGGAACCCTCTTGCACTGTTGGTGAGAACGCAAACTGGTGCAACCACTGTGGTAAACAGTATGGAGTTCCTCAAAAAATTAAACATAGAACTACCCTACAGTCTAGTAATCACACTACTGGGTATTTACCCAAAGAATACAAAAACACTAATTCAAAAGGATATATGCACCCTTATGTTTACTGCAACATTATTTATAATAGCCAAATATGGAAGCAGCCCAAGTGTCCATCAACAGATGAATGGTTAATGAGGATATGGTGTGTATACACGCACACACATACACACATACCACATCTTGCACATTTATATACACACAATGGAATATTACTCAGCCATAAAAAAAGAATGAAATCTTGACATTTGCAACAACATGGATGGATCTAAAGAGTATAATGCTAAGTGAAATAAGTCAGAGAAAGACAAGTACCATACGATTTCACTCATGTGGAATTTAAGAAGCAAAACAAACAAAGGGAAAAAGAGGGAGAGAGACAAATCAAGAAACAGACTCTTAACTATAGAGAACAAACTGATGGTTACCAGAGAGGAGGTGGGTAGAGAGATAGGTGTCATAGGTGATGGGGATTATAGAGTACACTTATGATAAGCAATGAGTAAAGTACAGAATTGTTGAATCACTATATTGTATACCTGCAACTAATACTATGTTGTATGTTAACTGTACTGGAATTAAAATTTAAAACTTAAAATATTTTTTACAAAAGAAAAGAAAGAAAGAAAATTCCACCGAGAAGTATACACTAATTTCTCTGAGACACTTAGCAAGATAGAGCAGGAAAATGCAATGGCTCATAGTAACAATACAGATTTATTTTGATGAGATTGTAGGGTATCAGGATTGCCTTGCCCCTCCTAGATATCATTTTCAGCATGGCAAATGTAAAAAATCTGGCTGCGAATCGATAATGTCTCCTTTCCTATCCTGATAATGGCGAGGTCAAGATGGAGAACAGTTAGGGAGTTGATATTTCTTTAGTAACCTTCAGTGTGTGAAGAGACAGACCCCTGAAACATAAAACAGGAACCATTTACCTTAGTTGACAAGGCTGACATGGCTAAAGCCTTTTTGACCTGGTGAACTATCTTCCTGACCAATTCTATACAGCTTGTGGGTGCAGCCGGTCAATGGAAAGTTCTCACAGCATACCCATGATTTGAGAATGGAGTGGGTGGATAGGGATTTACGGCTATGGGAGTTTTATGACTTCCTTTTCACAAAACTCAGCATTCCTTGCATTTTCCAGATGCTATATATCTGTTTCTAAAATCCAAAATTTGGCTCCTAAAGATAAAAGTCACTCAAATACAACAAGATATTGAAACCTAAAAACAAACCAAACAAAATTTTTTTGTTAGGAAAGTCACAGGATCTAAAGGTCTGTGTGGATAGCAGGTGGAGGAAATGGAGGATTGGCAAATCATTCCACTGGGAATCCCAAAAGCATTCTTCTTTATCTGTATACCAGAGAGTCTAAATCTTGTTTTACTTTTTTAAAGCGTGCACCATGGAAACAAAACCTAGATTATGATTCTTTCCTAAAGACTGCTCTACGTACCTGGATTTCCTTCCATAACAATAACAGATATTTTGGGAAAAGTTAAATCCACTTCAAAGTTGGCACAGGAATCCCAACATGCACTTCATAAATATATAAGTGAAACAAACTGGATAATCACAACTGAGACTAGCACTCTCAAATACATATAAAACTCACAGCCTATTGCTGTCTAGATTAATGTTCATCTCCTAAGATGGCAAGATGTCTGTTTTTAAGACCTTTTGTCAATTTTATTTCTAAGTATCCACCATACTTAAAGTAAAACAAACCCTACTTCATTTGATGTGCAGCTTATAAGGAAGGCATTACAAAACATCTGTAGGTCACTCAAGTGCATAAAATACCAAACAAATTCTGATTTACATGGATTACACTTCTAACAAAAAGGGACACAGGGAGAGACTGACTACAAAACTAAAAATAAACAAGGCTATCCAAACACCATGTAATTAGCTTCTTAGCCTTGAAGATCATGCGGAGAGGTGAAAAAAAGCCATGAAAACCAGCTGTGATCTGAAAGAAAAGAGTGTTCAGTGTAATCCACCGTGCCTCCAATCACGTAAAATCAGTTCATCCTGTAATGCATACAACTCAGCTTACTCTGAGTCCTCGAAGTCCAATCCAACACTCACTATATTCAGAACTACATGTGTGGACTTTGTAAGGAAATGAGGAATGACCCTATAGAACCTCTCTATCATTATTTCATTAATAGGAAAACATACTAAGAGATTCCAATAATTCCAGGTTAGAATAAAAGCCCTACTGGGATCTCTCAAAGGCTTTTTTTTTTTTTTTTTAAACCAAGACACCACTTCTTTTTTACATAATTCCTGAAAGCTGAGTTGCAAATGTATAGGAAAGAACTCTGGAAGCATTTATAAGGTAAGGAGAAAATACTTTAAAAAATAAAATGTCAAATCTCCCAAATCAGATTAACTAAACTAAAATAACAGGATATTAGAAGTAACCACAAAAGGAAAGGGAACTGGAATGCCTTTGCTTCATAGGGTTCTAACTGTGTGTGGTCTAAGATGTGGAATGTTCTGGTCACTAGAAGCCTGAAAAGCTGTTTTGAAAGGGAAATATAAGGGGTAACCTGAAAGATTTCAACAATTAGGACCACACAAAGGGAGAGTTTGAAAAAGACCAGCAAAACCAAGCTTAGTAATAATAGCAAACACTTACATGTTGCTTTTTATATGCTAACCACTATTCCAAGTGCTTTACATATATTAACACAAACTATTACAAGTAATTGATGGCCACGCTTCATAACCAGATTCACCCTGTTGTGTGTGAGTGTTTTTTAACTCACTGCTTTAACAGAGTTCTTGGTAAGCTTCCAAATCCTGAACTGAAAGTAAACTACTTACTATAAATCCAAACATACCAATGTTGCTGGTTTTTGATCTCTTCACTATTGCAACAGTTTATTGCTCCTTGATGCAACATAACAGTTATTTAAAAGTTGAACCAACTAAAATCTAAAAGACATGACTGGCATCATAAAACTAAGAATCGCAATCACTGACTTGTTAGGCTGAAATTGAGTCTGGATTCTAATATTCTATTTCAATCCATTTTCATATATTAAAGTATAACCAATATCCTTAGTATAAAATTCAACAAAAATACCACATGAAAAATAGTTACCTGAATTTGAATCTGGAAAAGACAAATAGCAAATATTGGTTTTCTGAAAAAGAAAACAAAAGCTATATATGCTGACACACACACCAATAAAGACAAATAGAATATAACAGCAGACTATACGGAGCAATATTTTTACTTACTTCTTTATCAGTAAGCTTGGAATGTTGAGGATAAATTACCTGGAAAAAAAAGAATTAAATCTTGTTAGACAAATATACTGAGTATATATTATAGACATTAGCAGGTACTTCTAATGCCAGTTGGCTATGGTCAAAAGTTTTAAGAAATAGTTCACAAACTTCAATAATGACACATGGGAGAAGCTGGGAGAACTAAGTGGGATTTACATTAGGAAAAAAAATTTTCTGAGTCAAAGTTACCTCTAAAAGAATGGTGAAATCTTGGTTTATCAAGAATAATTTACCAAATGAATTACTAATAACTTAAAGCTTATTGAGTCTTTTCTTTGGAAACCTAAAATCTAAAGAGAATTTGATCTATCAGCTGGGTGCTACTCAAGAAATAATGATTTTCAATCAATTCTAAGAAGTAATGTGAATCACCAGCTACTTATTAAAAGAAAAATTGAAAGGAGAAAATAATTATCCATAGTTTAAGAAATCTCAAAGACTATCTCCCACCATAAAGTCTATCCTAATTTCTTCCAATCCCCTTAAATAATCATTGCATTTTCTTAGGACAGGTCAGTTTAGTGCCTGTAGTGATCACAGCCACCTTCTGAGGGAAACTCCTACCCCATAGCCCCTGCAAAGGAAGCAAGAATAGGCCAGAACAGCTCCTGTCAGAATAAGCACTAGTAAACACCAGACCCAAAAGCAGCAACTCTACAGGCCAGTCTACCAACTACCTAGATGTGGCTGGGTGTGAAAATTCTGCCCAAAAGAATACCAGTGCTCAAGTGGACCAATCCAGACTCTCTGGGGAATGTAAAGAAGAAATGAGATTAAGAGCAGCAGGTTAGTGGCTGATAACAAAAAGGGGAGAAAACAACACAAAGAGTACCTAATTATGTTAGTGTTGGGTTGCTAAGGTCAGGATCCATGACTTCCCACTTTTGGAAGAATTCATGAGTTCTTCCCATTCCCCAACTGCCCAAGAGCCTAATAATCTTCCATTTCCAGATATAGCATATAGTAATATCACATTATAAACTGTATTAAAGTGGTTTCACACATTTCTTTCACTTAGTTAGTCCTCACAATAATAGACAAGGCCAGTAGTGGTATCCCCTTTGTATATATAAGAAAACTAAAATAAGAAAAAAGATGGGGAGAATACTTAATGAGCATCTTCCGGAGTTTTTAATTTTCACAACAATTGTCAATTTTCCCTGCCTTTACAGAAGAGGGGGCAAGTTCACAGTAGTTAAATAACTCTTCTGAAGTTTACCTGTTTAGTAAGTGCCAGAGGTAGGGCTTGAACTTGGGCCTGTCTGATTCCAAAGTACACAAGCCACCATTCTCCACTCCATGCTTAGCAGTGATCATTACTGGGCAATCACAGCAGTGGTTGCCCGCTAGCTAGGATGTGGCATATCATCCTTCTCAATCTGGGGCTACGGGGAGGGTCTAGAGAGCTGATACATTACATGAAAACCATCTACCATTTCTGGAATAGAGAATGACACCAAAGCCAATATTCTTACTCTGCTTTGTATCCCATGTTCTGACCTATCTAAATTAACCTCTGTTTCCACAATTCATGAAGGCAAGAATCTGGTCTGTTTTGTTCACCACTCTATCTTTACACCTAGAATAGTCTCTGCTGTATAGTAAACACTAAGAATATATTTCTTCAATAAGTGGATATACCCTCAAATTAGCTCAACAACTCAATATTTAATAATATGTAATTCTTCTTCATGCGTACATAGATCTCCCTTGCTTCACCTTGAGACCATTTTACCTTGTTACCTTTAAAGTAGAAATGGCAAACTTATAACCTATTTAGCCTTATTTTATGAAAATCTCATTACATGTAAATTATACCAGAGTTATCATACTGGTAAATTTAGTGGCCTGTAGTAACAGCTTTATCTTAGACTCTAAACTCAGTTTTATGTGAGTGCCCTTTAGATTTTTCTTTCCTGAAATTAAAATATGAACTCAAAAGCAAATATACAAAATTTCATTTTTTTGTTACATAAAGACTTCACAGTGGTTCCTTTGGACTTTGGTTTCCTATGGTTTAAAATACCAGCACGACAATATAGAAAAAAATGTTGGTAAATTTTACCCATATATATGAGTACCTTAAATAAATATAACACGTGTGTATACATCTGTGTGTTTGTGTGTGTGTATTTAAGGGGCTTTTGTATGCTATATATATTCAAGTAAGCTAAAAAGATGTAAGAACTACATAACCTATCAAGACTGCCTTTTAAAAACTCCGATTGTACTAGATTGTCAAACTATTCTAGAATTTCATTTTAATGTACCCTCTTAGGACTGCCCAGTGTTTTATTTTGGAATAGATACGATATTCAAAAAGAAGTAATGTATCTTTATATGCTATAGGTATGAAAATGTCCACAGAGTACTTAAGATCAAAAAATAGAAAAAAAATCATACTTAATTCTAAAACTTCAATTAAACTTCCTAAGTAAAAATTTTTTTTAAAAAACATAACCACTGCTAAGTATCTCAAACTGCACAAAATGCCACAGTTACTAGATTATCTATGTACATACTTTATCTTGTAAAAAAAAAAAAAGTATAAATTTAAGTATGGGCAATCAATGTTAGTTTAGTCAGTTAGCTCCTGATAACTATACAGGCATTAATCAACTGTGGATTGGCCCCAGTACCTGGAGACGCCTCCCGCTTGAAGTTTCCTCTCTCCACAGCTCAAGTCCAGGCATCTCTGTCCCCCAGGCCACTGGCATTCCTGGGAGGCATCAAAGGGGGACAGAGAGCATCAGCTAATGTCACCCTGGTTCTGTTACCTATGTTAAGATCTTCCATGTTATAAGAAATAAGGGAGAGGTGGCCAGGTAATAAGCCAAGAAAAAGTAAGTTTTATTTGATATCATTATTAAGGCCTAAAAATGATGACATAGCATAAATATTTCACATCATGATGTAATAGGAAAAAAGTACCCCAGAAAAAATATTAATATATCTACTAGAAAATAATATTACAAAATGTTTTAAATCGGGTTATTCTCTTCAAAGATATGTCTACCTGCCACTTGCCCCTGCACACCCTAACATTCCCACCTTAGTGTAGGAGTAATTACGGTCCCAGGAGAAAGAAAATTAGGAACACCAGTTAACTTACTGCTATACCACTTGGACATGGGAAAAATTCATGCCTGCCATGCATCCCACTTATCTGTGAATGGGTGCCTGCCTTTTGCCATGTCACTCAGTGTCTGTTTCCATTGCACAACCCTACCTTGCATCTCAGGCCCAGCAGAGACTACATCCCAGGCCATCCCAGGCCTGCCTTGATCTTCTACATAAACATTAACTCACATATAAACATCATCAAAACAACATTAAAAAAAGGGGATTAATTCCAAACCTAGTAAGAACCCTGGCTGGCTCTCAGTCCGTGGAGTGTGCAACTTTTGATCTCGGGGTTATAGGTTTGGGACCCACATTGAGTGCAGAGATTACTTAAAAATAAAATCTTATTTAGTTACTTATTTTTAATTTTTCAAAGTAGGCTCCACATCCAGCATGGAGCCCAATGCGGGGCTTGAACTCACAACCCTGAGATGAAGACCTGAGCTGAGATCAAGACTTGGATGCTTAACCAACTGAGCCACCCAGGTGCCCCAAAAATAAAATATTTTTTTATTTTTTTATTGTTACGTTAATCACCATATAGTACATCATTAGTTTTTGATGTAGTGTTCCATGATTCATTGTTTGTGTATAACACCCAGTGCTCCATGCAGAATGTGCCCTCTTTAATACCCATCA